GTAAGGCCATGTTACTCCTAAATTTCTATCTTGTTCAAAGAGAAGATATAAAACAAAGTTCTAAGCTAATCGACCTTAGTGTTCTCCTTTTTTTAAAGAGAATCGATAAGAGAATCGATAAAGAATCGAATCGTTAAACAGAATCGAAAATGGAATCGGAATCGTGAAAATCTTATCAATACCCATCCCTAATTACATGTTTGGAAAGCTGAACCATACTGAGAGCCTTTATCCACAACTTGCAAACACATGGATCAGTGGTGACCAGCCAACCAAAATTATCCCATGAACACAGCACAACACACCCAAGAGGTCATGAGGACCCCAGAACAACATCCAAAGGACTGTAAGCATCACTTTCTTCAGCTAAGGTCAGTGCTCATGACTCAACCATAAGAAAGAGATGGGGCAAAATGTCCAAGTTCCAAGACGAAAACCACTGCTAATCAAAAGGTGCATAAAAGCTCATCGCAGTTTTGCCAGAAAACATCTTGATGATCCAAGACTTGGGTAAATATTCTGTGGACTGACGAGACAAAAGCTGCACTTTTTAGAAGGTGTGTGTCCCATATTACATCGGGCTTAAAGGTAATACGGGATTTCAAAAAAGGAAGATCAGGCCCACAGTAAAATATGGTGGTGGCAGTGGGATGGTCTGGGACTGTTTTAATGCCTCAGGACTGGAAGTCTTGTTGTGGTAAATTTAACCATGAATTCTGCTGTCTACCAAAACATCCTGAAGGTGAATATACAGCCATCTATTTCGTAACAACAAGCTGCACTTGGGTTCTGCAGCAGGACAAAAAATACCAGTGAGTCCACCTGTGAAGGAGCAGTGAAGGAAACTTAGGCACAGGTTAAAGTCCAAAAAAATGATTTTTTATTTAACCCAAAAAACATAATTGGTTAAATCATGCAAAAAGAATTAAAATCTTGGGCCCATAAAAGAGGTCAAAACAACACAACTGATAACTCAAACAAACTGACCTAACTAAACAAGACAAAGGGGAAACTTAAATAGTGGCTGATCAGCCCACAAAAACACGAGAAGGGGTAAAACACACAAAACCTAACTAAACCACACATAATGAACTCCAATTCCCCCCCCCCTGGTCCTGAGTTATGGCATGAACCAATTTGTAGTCTTCCTTTAAAGCTCGCTCCACCCCTTTTCCACCTCTTGGCTCCTTAATCAAGGGACTGGAACAGCTGCAACTAAGGTAACTCAGAAAACAAAAAATTAATCATACATAACAGTGTAAACTAGAATGTGCGCACTTATTTTAGAATGCAGTGTTATGTGGATATGTGAATTAACTCTAAACCAAAACCAGTTATTTATTGTCCTGTAAATAAATTCCTATATTTAAAGAAAGACATGTGAATGCAATGTTACTTATGAGCCTCTACACTAACATGGTGGGTATTACCACTGTGTGGCTGTAAGTGCAGCCATCACACCACCATTGAATGGCTTTAGAAAAACAAAATGAAAAATTTGGAATTGACCTGAATCTGCTAGAGATGCTGTGGCCCTCCAATGTGGCCGAATTACAACATTTTTGCAATGATGAGTGGGCCAAAATTCCTCCACAGCCTGTAAAGGACTCGTTACCAGTTATTACAAACGCTTGACTGCAGTTGCTGCAGTCAAGCAGTCAAAGGTGGCCCAACCTGTTATCACAATCAATTTTATTACACAGGTCAATGTAGGTTTAGATATTTTCTTCCTTTAATTACTTGTATTGTCTTTGCCTAACATGTTTGCCCAACAATTTGTTTGGTGATCTTAAATATTTAAGTGTGACAAATAGACAAATACACAGGAAATCAAGAAGGGGGAAACACTTTCTCACACCACTGTACCTTGATTAACATGAATTATGAAATATTTGTTGGATATATATGTAGAAAACAATTTGCAGGCAGTACCTTTGATGCCATCCAGTTTTGTAATATAATAATAGGAGTAGCATGATCAGTGGTATCAAAGACTGCAGATACGTCAAGCA